CAGTCTTCCATCAATCACTTTCTTCATCGGCGGCGCACAGCTGGTAATGTCGGCACAAAGCTACGTGATTAAGGTATCATTTTGGAAACGTTCACACTCGACAGGCTAAATAGCTGCATGGTTTTTTCGATTTGATGAAGCACATTATACCCTTCGGTGATGCATAGTGCGTGGATCGATAGTGGCTACGCCAGTGTATTGAATTAAACGTACATAGCAACTGATTACACGTCACAGGAGAAAAGACTAGGTTTTGAAAGCCAATGAGGTGTGAAGATGATGAAGAACCTATTGATCGTTCACGCTTTCTCACACCTCTTTTTTAGTACACCGACGGAACGTGCACATCCGGTTTCCAAGAATTCCCAGAACTGGCAGCCTGTAAGCTTCGTCCATTCAGTCAGCGTTTCCTGGAAACTAATATACGTAGTTTCAGCAAACACATGGATCCTTGGTGATGTCTTCATTGGTGCATTCTACTCGATATTTGACTATGGAAACAGACGCGTTGGATTTGCGGTATCAACTTAACGTGTCAACCATATGATGGGCAAATCAATAAATTTAATAAAAAGCTATCATAAATCAATAAATTCAATAAAGAGTTTTCATGTGATTCCGTCACATTTCCGGCATGGTTTCATTCAGTCTGAACATCAGTTGCAAGGGTAGAACTTTCTCAATCGGTGAAGATGAAAAGGTGATGAGTTTGGCCATAAGGCCTTGATTGACGACGCCTGAACCCACAGATGCGTCCAGCCGTCGTTGACCCGATCCTGAGAACTTTATAGTCAGCTTGACATCGTCTATCTTTGCAAGTCACCTCGTACCAAACAATCGCCTTGCTCAAATATGCAAGAAACGTTGGAGTTCGACTAATTTCACAGATAGGTGCGTATTGTGCATTGATTATCTTTATGTGTTATCGTTGTTCAGAATTCCATTTGACATTGAGAGTAAAAAATGTAGGTCGTCGGTCTTCTAGGTGTACTCTCCGAAGCAGAAAAGTTCAATCTTGCTAGGATCCATTTGGTTGAGTACTATCTCTCTGAGAATTCCTTTGATAACATGCTAAAACACTAACAATCACCTTTCAAGTCTGTTCTTGTCTCTTTAGCATACCTTTTCATTGTCGTCATCTATATACATAGCCAGATCCCTTCCTTCATTTGCATTCCCTTCCACATAGGTTCCAATATATTTAGGCGACGAAGGGTTCAACACATCGCTGAATAGTTCATATTTTGTCTCTATTATTAACGCTACTGCTACCACTATCACCATAAGGTCTCATTATAGCATACGATATGCTGAGCTGCCTCTTTACGAGAAGGTGGACGAAAAGCACCAACAACTCTTTGACGAAGATTTTTTCCATCTGACGACTGAGAAATGTAGTAGCATTTTCTGTCAAAAAACGCTGCATGTTTTTGTGAAGTGCTGCATGCTGGACAAGCTATATCAGTAGGCAGAACTAAGAAGCTGTTTGCGAGAAGCCGCTTATTGCAATTCAATTCAATTCTATAATTCAAAATTACTGCATGTGTTTCTTCGAGCCTGAAAACGAATCGTCTTGCGCGCTGAGCATTGGGCTTGAAATGCAGAATAGATCGGTGAGCAACGAGCGTGGCTCCCGTTCCCCTGGTAGAGGATGTGGAGGTGTTCCCTTCCTCGCTAAGTTTTCTGGAAGGGGCACCACAATTTGGACGACAAAATTATAGATGGTCGCCGTTGTGCTACAGATTAGTCGTCATGTGCCGCGCTCGTTTCCATCGAAAGTGTTGTATAACACAGCAGTTAAAACCTACACCGGCTTCATGCAAGTTTGGCCTTTATTAACATAATACCCTGCTTGCTTCTTATGCAACAGAACAGCATCATAAAGCCTCCCAGTGCACAGACCTTTATACAAGTTTCCATGAAATGTTTGAATTTTTTTGCTTCAACACATTAATGACTTTGCAAGAGGATTTTCGTGGAAAACTAGGACTTTCTCCGAATCATACAACCTCTTTGAGCCCTTTTTCATCCTGCTCCTTGTGCTGATTTCTTTTTTGTGACCGCTGTTTTTTGAATATTTCTTTACGTTTGTTTGTGCTTATTACTTTGAATACTGCAATATCAGAACCTTCACCTATCACACTGGTTACTGAGACGAAAAGTGATTTTTGCCACGCCTTTCTTCAGCGCCTTCTCACATTTGGAAGGTTGTGCCCCTTTGCTTTGTTATTATGATGATAAAAACAAGACATGTGGTAACTCTATGTTGACCATTTGTATCGAGATGGATGATCAGCTCCCATAGAAGAAACATTTCTTCCTGGAGCAAAAACTTACAGAAATCTAGTATTCGATAAAATGGGCGAATATGTTATCGAGCAGCTACTATTGGCTCAGAGAAACATTTAGAGTAGTCTCGGAATTTGGAAGATAAATATTTCAAAACAATCACATCATGGCGCTTCACATGCTGTGAGAAAGTGGAAAGACCGCTTGTGACGATAAACTCACGTTGAATGTTCTACATACCTTCTCAAGAAAACAAGAGCCACAACAGAAATTAGAAACTACTGAAAGATTCTCTAACTGATTCTGAAGAACCGATCTAGCAGAGCAGTGGAGGAGCACTACAGAGGTCCATAGCCGACTCTCGATTAGTTTCGGCACGATCAAGA